TCAGACAACTTCCCTTTTATCTATTCCTCTTTTTATTACGTGTTGATAACCTTTGCGGTCTTAATTGGCTTAAGGGTGAAAAAGAAAAGATATCACGAGTGATACATGATGTAACTCATCCCAGTCACGAATTGTCAGCCATCAAATTATCTCTGTACGAGTTTCTCTCTGCGAGTTTTCCTTTATTTCTCCACTTTCCACATTTGGTTAAAACTCTCTATCTCTACAGCCCGCGACGGAGGGACATAAGCTGAATGTCTGGAAACTAGGAACATTCGGCTCCAGCTGCGTGTTCCGGGAAAGAGGGGGAGGGAGAAATTTTCCTTTGAAATGGAGGAAAGAAATTAGATTCTTGTCTGGTAGTTATGTTGTTAATCAGTAATGTTCCAAAAAGGTGAAACCTATAAAACTATCCCCGAGAATATGTTTAAGATGTTACAACCTGGAGGTACCTCAAAGTGGTGTAAGATGCGCCCCTTGCTCCTAACATTTTTTCTGTACGATGGTCCGCTCTCCCCTTCCTCCCCAACCCCGTTCAACCCACGCCAGGGCGTACGTCATGTTTGTTCAAGGGTAGTATTATCCAGAAGAATCTAGGCTTTTGGCTATAAGTCAAAAATTCGACATCTGATCACCTATAAAAAAGGCAGTTTCATGCTTCACGCTCTATACAGCATTGGGGTCCACTGTGAACGGATGTTAAAAAAATTCGGCTGAAACAGCAAAACACAAGTGAGAGTCTCACTACGCTTATATTGCCACTAGTACCATATAATTGTCGCCAATTTTGTGCGAAATTTCTATTTACGAAATGCTCCTCTGGTTTGTTGGCGCTGTGGCTGTGATGCTGACTTTCATGGTAAATGCTTTTAACTATTTTGCTTCTGCTTAATTTGTGTCAAACATGAGCTCAGAGCGCTGGTGGCAAATCTATAAAGAACACCGCTAATGAGACTCGTCAAAATAAAAAAAAATGAAGAATTCCTTCGTGGAAAGACGAGTGACGACATTTGCGACTAACGAGCAGGAAAATTATAACGTAATGTAGAAGGAAGTCTTGGAATACTAATGTTCCAGGGTAAACAAAGATCATACAAATGAGAGTAGTAAGAGAGAAAGACAAAGTTGACTAAAAAAATGGAAACGAGAATTCTAAAATTATTGCGAACGACAAACTTGAAAAGCTTTGACGCAGTCAGTTTAGAATTGAAAGCGTAACAGACACTTCCGGTCGAGTTGAAAAGTAATATTTTCTTCGTGAGTGCGGGAGGTTTTTCTATCATCACCGGAAATCCTATCATTTCTACGCGGCCTGAGCTGTGGGAGGAGACGAAATCGAGACTGTGTTGATCTAATCTTCGCTCGCCAAAGGAAATGTCGAGAAGTTCGTCAGATTATGAAAGTCTGTAGCAATTCCACTATAAATTCAATTTCTTTTCTCAGATCGCGTTCATAAATTATGCAGTTGTTGATTACATCCAGAGCTCTCATTATTTCAGTGCTGATCCATCAATCTATTCGGAGAGTCTCGCAGAACACTTACATTTAAACGAACCATGAAAGAGGAATTTTCCTTCGTCAAAATTCAACCAGGTTGAATGTGGATCGCAGATAAGATATCACAGTATTTTTAGCCAGGCGTGTTCAAACTGTACTGGACAAGTCTTCCATACGTGTCATGTTTCGCATGAATCGTTTCACTAACGACAAAAGGGCCTTTTATTCGATTTTGGCTGAGTTCAGTGAGTTGAAAACAGAATTAAGAATGTGCATATCATGTCGCACATACACAAAATGATTAGTGGCAAGAAGGAGGGGTAAATTGGAGAGAGACATTGCCGAGTCAAGGATGGTATGATGGTTCACGCCAGATCGCAAAATCTCGAAAATATGAATTCAGTATAATTATTTCCTCCTGATAAACTATTTATTATCTCTTACAGTTAGAAGTCTTCAGGCTTAACTGGAGTAACCAATAAAATATTATTTGTTTGACCTTACACTTAACGGGCGCGTTAGTACTCCAAAGTTAATTCACGGAGTATTATTACAAGCCGCTCATAAGACATATTTTAGATTTTAAAAACCAATGCAAATCATTGTAAACTAACTCTCTTCATACTCGAAACAAGCTAGCAGCAGTACACATTTTGTATTATGGCGGCTTAATGTTTTTCTTCTGAATGTTTTCTAGATAAACAATTATCAAAGCAGTGTTATGATTTCGAAATAATCATAAGTCGAGGCAAGTTTTACCATCCTCGGCTGATAACACTTATCTTGAGCCAAATCTAACTATTGATTTCTTGGGGTTTTTTAGAAAATAACAAAAAGCTTCGGTCGGTTAGGACACAAATTATTATTATTGACAAGAAAAAGATCTCAATATACAAAACTGTGATTTGGCTTTTGGTACACAGTCACTTGCAGAGGTTAAATGAGTCTTGAGAAAAATGAATTACACACTTCAGATCTCTAGATATCTGCCGGATTGGGTGGTTTACATCGAGCTACGAGTGTGTCTATGAGCACAATACACAATAATAATGATTGAGGCAACGGTATTAGTTAATTTAGATATAGCCTTCGTGCTGAGCGCTCGACGAAAACGCGCGTAAGGCGCGTGCTAGAAAGGGAAAAGACAGGAAAACGCGTGTATGACCACTAGATCGCGTGTACAGGCCTTAATTATTTGCGCTCAATAAAATCGAGTGTCTCCTGCTCTTACTTTAGGCAAGATTAATCTCTTTTGTTGACAGGCGCCACCCTCGGAAGGAACTGGTCGCGCCATTGTAACATTACGAAGGTACACTAACCCCTCTCACCGCTTGAACAATGGCAAATGCTGTGATCACCGATTTCTCAACATTGGCCGATGCCGCCCATGTGATGCTTACTTCAAACTATGTGTGAGTCAGGCAGTTAGTGGGTCTTCTTCAAACAGCTGTAATATTGGTAGAAGCCAGACCGGTGTGGTTGGTGACGATGACAACCATGTACTCAACATCAGAAGGGCGTTTTCTTTTGAATCTTTTAAGGTAAGTACGCATATAAAGCAAAACCATTTTATTCTTGTCATCTCTTCCGCGTCATTTAGTGCATAAGACCAACATTTCTTAACTTCACTTAAGTATAGATAAAAGCAACAAAGGGACAGTTTACTGGGTGTATTTGTACTTTTGGAAACGCTTTAAACGACCAAGAGAAACGTTATGATGCACCAGGCTTCATTCTCCAGACTGTTCCAAAAATAGATAACTTTTTCAAAGTAGAAGGCACTTTTCTAAATCAATATTCCTACAACATGTATTGTGTATGAAATCACTCGAAGTGACACTTGAGCTGATGCCAAATAAGCAACTTTACTGCTGCATCGCCGAGTCTTATGGGACCGTTCATTACTCACTGAGTAAGGCTGGGTGGTGGGATTTGGAGGAATGCTATTTGGGAATTGTATGACCCCTCAGCTTACTAACTACCCTTACATGACCCCCCTCGCATTAGAAAACTTTCTGATTGACCCTCCCCCCTCCCTTCTGAAATCATAGTCACGCCTGATATTTCAAAGGTTAGTACGCTCAAAAAAAAACCTATTTTTATAAACTGGCATATTTCACCTAACAAGATGATACAATTCTCGACAGGTGCTTGCACTGAACGGAATATTTTCCAGTGAAAAAGAACTTTTCATTACAAATCTGAACACATCTCAATATAATTAAAAGTCAATTTCATAAGGGCATACTTTTTTATTTCGCCCAACCAACTCCGTTCTCCTACACTTTTTTTCCGGACACAGGTAACCTGTTAATAAAAAGTTACCGAATCAGAGGAACAGCGACAGAACTGTATGGATATTAACAGTTATTTACTTAAGGCGAAGTGACTAATTTTGACCAGTCCCCGAGACAAAGCCGAGGGGATTATTCAACTACATATTCTTTGAGCCCGAGGCAAATAATTGTTTTAGTATTATTGCTTGGGTGCTTTCGAATTCTATTCTAAATATTCGTTTTGACGTTGAAACCATTCTGTTTTAATTGCTTTGATTACATGTATCGAGGTAAAGAGCCATTATCACTTCCACGGTAACACTAACAAACCGCGAGGCACCTCGTGCGAGGTGATCATAGCGAGATATGACGCAATCCTCGACCAATCAGAGCGCGTGAATCTCTATAGTCACCGGAGCTAATATACTGAATACGAATAGTCACAAAGCTGAGCTGAGTGCTTGTATTATTTCTCAGGGAGCCATTACTGTTGGGGTGGAAGTCTGGGATAAGGACAAATTTACCAGCAATGATTACGTTGGCTGCCCGTCCATAACACTGTGGTCTGTCACTCCGGGGTTGTATTTGGATCCCTTAAGAAGAAGCTTGACGCTAAAGAGCAGATACGTCACCATGAAGCTCGACTTGGAGTTGTACTGCGACAAAGACTACTATGGTCCCAGTTGTAGCGTGAATTGTGTCCCGCGGGATGACTCGAGTGGACATTACACCTGCGATAACCTAGGAAACAAGATTTGTCTTCAACATTGGGAAGGGCCGTCTTGTAAAAGATGCGAGAGAAATTGGTTTGGTCCTCGCTGTTCTGCAAACTGTGTTCCTCAGGATAATGATTTTCAAGGACATTACAAGTAAGTCAGGAGACAGATGTGCTTATTAAAGTGGTCGGGAATTTAGGGGGTACGGTTTTAAAGGAACTGTGGTGCTACGTCGGTGGGGGAGCCAACGCTTTCCATTCAAATAATTTACTCTTACCTTTCTCGTAACTATATTCCCACAAATAGCGTAGCTCCATTTTTTACAGATAAACTCACACACAACCCACAATTCCTCCATTCGCACTGACGAAGGGCTAACGCTCGGAACGTCAACTTAGAAACTCTTTACGGTGACTACTTTACACAACTCAGTTAATAAAACCAAATCATATAGTCGGAAATGAGACAGCTTGTGGCAAAATTTCGAAAAATAGAGCGAGGGAAAAATAAAGGAGAACAAAAACCTTTGCCGTTATACCCTCCCGGCCTCCCGCCCTCCCCGCCTTTTTGTTCTCCTCTTTTCGCTGAGAATCTATTTGTAATCGAGGCTGAGAAAGAAAGGAACATAGATGATGTAAATTTACAAAAGCAGCCTTCAGAAAGAATCCAATAGGAATTTGGGGAAGGATTTCTGTATCACAAGGAATTTTTCATATATTGCGGGCCCTATTGCTATCCTTTAATAATCACGTAAGTTAGCTTTTATGTCTTTGACAACATGTATAAAAAGAAAATAGTTTTTTCTCAAGAGGCTGGGGCACTAAAGAATATCATGAAAAAGATCTATGCAGTCAGGAGATGATCCCATGTAAATATTTTAGAGAAGTTGAAATTATAGATAAAACTTTTCCTTTCTTGAATCACAGATGCAGGCCGTTGGATGGTAAGAAAGAGTGCCTACCATCGTGGTTTGGTTCTGACTGTCGCACACAATGCATCCCTCGTGATGACGACGGCGGACATTACAGTTGTGCACAAGACGGAAGTAAAACGTGTCTGCCTGGGTGGTATGGCGAGAACTGCACAGTGTTCTGTGTTCCTCAAAATGATGAGAAACTCGGAAATTACACTTGTGACGATGAAGGCAATATGGTGTGCTTGGACGGCGTCAGTCGCCTCGACTCTAACTGCTCTTGGACTTGTTTGGTCATTGAAGCCCCAGTAACCTACAACTGTACAGAAGAAGGCTACAAAATCTGCCATCCTTCGTGGTTTGGGTCCGACTGTGCCACTTACTGCGAGCCCCACAACGATGAAAAGCACGGGTATTACACTTGCAACGTACGTGACGGAAGTAAAGTGTGCTTGGACGGCTGGGAAGGACGTGACTGCCGTGAAAGAAGCGTGGAATCATTATTTACAATTGAGTAACGATGGGCTTTAGTGTGACTGTATGTCACCCGTTAGTACATCTTCAATGGCGCTGCGACAATTTATAAACAGGACCTAGATGGACGAATGTTTACGGTTCCTTTAGACAGAAAATAGTCAGTAATCACTGAATGATTATAGAAAATAGGACTAAATGGACACATCGAGCTCCGCTTTTCATTTTTTATGACTTGAACAATTTTTTTTATAAGTAATAGCTCCTGCCAAGTACTGCAAACCAAGTAAAAATTAAAATTCGCTTTTTATGATGAAAGTATTTGAAGCTGTCTTGTACATTACCATCAACGTCTAATTTAATATGCATCACCGCAACAGACTTGGGGTGACCAAAAGGGGAAATGTTTTGGTTTCGAAATTTAATGTTATGGTTTCTTGCCTTTTGAACCATGTTATTTGACCATCCCATAATTTTCTTTTAAGTCATTCATTTCTAGGTACTGTTTATACAACACAACGAAACTCCTTCAAATCAAATTGACAGTTATGAATTATCATTAATAGCAGATACATGCGCTTTTATTTTCATTTCAAGAAAGATTTAATGGCATGGTACAAATGCTTCGTTATCTTTAAATACAGCTGCTTTTAACTTTCTTGTTTTGATTGTACCCTGTTCGAAAAATATGAAAAAAGGGCATTTAATGCTACAACATGATTTACCAGTGTTGGTTCGTCAGTTAGAACTATCAAGTCGACTAAGACGTTCTCGCAAAAACATTGAATTTCGTAGTTCATCGTTTGAATTTTAGCGAAGCTAAAATTGAACCCCGAAAAAAAAAGTTTTACGGTCGCAATCGTCATGGGAACAATTGTCCATTCAGGAAAAGAACTGAGAGATTACGTGTTCACAGTAGGTTTGGTTTTGACCAGTATGCATTACGCGCGGCGTTGGTCTTTGGCGGTCATTAACTCGATGCCAATTATTCCTCAAGCTTCGGGAAAACAATACAAGCCTCGCTCTCGTGAAAGCCATAACAAAAAAAAACAGAGGCGTACAATGTCACATGCGCCTCTCAAGAGCCTCCAGTTTACAGAAATTCGAATATTTCTTTCCTTTAAAAACTTCTGTACCTCTGGAACTTTCATATTTGTGAAGAAGGCATCATGCGCCAACTCCCTGTCCCCTAGCCTCGACTTAATGCAATTAGTTAATTAGTTACCAGACTTTCTCACACAAACAATTAGCTTAATGAATCTTATTTGTCAGGCTGAGAGCAACGGGGACTTCTTTCCGTTTCACTTCCTTGTCAAAAATGGAGAGCGACCAGGTAAAGGTCCTGAAGGAAAAAGCCAAAGAAGCGATCGATATCTATTCTCCTGAATTATATGAACTGAACAAAAGTGTATGGGAAAACCCAGAGCTTGGTCTTCAGGAGAGATTTGCTCACGATCAGCTGACAGAATTCTTGGCGGATCAAGGCTTCGATGTAATTCCTCATTACACTTTGGATACGGCTTTTCGGGCGGAATGCGGAGAGGATGGAGGTCTTACAATTGGACTGATTAGTGAATATGATGCTTTACCGGAAGTAGGACACGCTTGTGGACATAATCTGATCGCTGAATCGGGAGTAGCAGCGGCTTTAGGCATGTTTATGTTGTTCATTTGCTTGACAAACTTCTACCTGCCTAATAAAGCGATCCATATTTATCGGACACGTATCAACCTGTTTTCTATACTAGCCTACACTATGTAATGCATTACGTATACATTTTAAAACAGTCTCACATCGCTATATAAAAACATCACTTAAAAGAGTAAATTATGTTTCCAAATGCGTCATGGGGATTCGGATGTCTTTTACGCTGAGATCAACAAGGGGGGTCTAGAAACTGAAATAGAATCTCTAAAAGCTGATGGAACTGCCTAGAGTTCAATTTGGAATTAAAGAAATATTGTGTATGCAATAGCTGCTATACTGTGCAGACTAGATAATTCCTAAATATAGATAAAGTGAGACATCTGGCGTGTGCAAACTCAATGATGTTTTATATTGGTCCTAAATTGTTCATCCAGTTTGAAACTCCTTGAACTGGTTTTAATTCTTAGGTCTCAAGATTGCTTTGAATGCCATTAATCAGAGACCCAAAGTCAAAATAGTTCTCCTTGGAACTCCTGCTGAGGAAACAATAGGTGGCAAGATTTCAATGATCAAGAATGGTTGCTTCAAAGATCTTGACTTTTGTATGATGGTTCACCCAAGTTCAGTAGATGTTCTCAAACCAGTCATTTTAGCTAGTGAACGTGCTACAATCACCTACAAAGGTCATGCTGCTCATGCTGCCGCATTCCCCTGGGAAGGAATTAATGCCCTTGATGCCGCAGTCATGGCTTACACAAGCATAAGTGCACTAAGACAGCAGATGAAGCCCACATGGCATGTTAACCTTATCATTTCCAAGGGTGGTGTTAAGCCAAACATAATTCCTGACCGAGCTCAGCTACAGTGTTACATTCGAGCTATGACTGACAGCAACCTTGAAGTGTTAAAAGAAAAGGTGAAGAATTGTTTTGAAGCAGCTGCATCAGCCACAGGTAAGTAACCTAAAAAAACAAATTATGGCAGACTTGTTCTCAGTCCTCTGTTTCATTTTCTATATACTATGTGTCTTTTTCAAGAAGTAAAAGGGCACACCTGGGTAGGAACCTAACTTTCTAAAGGCTAAGTGACTGAGACCAGTTTGGAGAAATTTGGAGAAACAAATTTACTTCCTCAAGGATCTTGCCCACTCCCTCCAAATTTGTTTTGGCACATCTTGTTTTTGTCTTTCCCCCAAACTTAAACAGGGGTTTCAATATTTTTTTGTATTAAGAAGGTGAGCTAGCATAGGATGCACCCTAATGTTTAAAATTTGCTCTTTTCCAACAGGCTGCAAAGTCTCCATGGAGTGGGAAACAGACACTAGATATTCACATCTGGAAACCAACAACACCCTTGCTGAACTGTACCAAGCCAATGCTGAGTCCTTAGGAGTATCATTTCCACCTGAGGCAAAGTTCTCAGCATCCACTGATATGGGAAATGTTTCACATGTAGTTCCTTCTATCCATCCCATGTATTCTATTGGCACAACTGCACCCAATCATTCTCATGCATTCACAACAGCAGCAGCAACAGAGGAAGCTCATGAGAAAACTTTGATTGCCAGCAAGGCAATGGCCATGACAGCTATTGATGTATTGTGTAAACAAGATTTCATGGATCAAGTGAGGATTGACTTTAAACAACCAAATAAGGGTGAAAATTAACTGTCATGGATGGAAAAGTGAGGACAAGTTGGCAAAAGTCATTAGGGACAGTTTCTGCAAAATTACTCCTAGAGATATATCTGTGAGTTCAGTGTGTAGTTCACAAATCTTAGATTGATACAACACGTATATGAAACAATGGTTTGATGAAACTTTCAAATGCACTCTGAAGTTCAATTTGACTGATGTGCTTGATGTGTTTGGTAGGGAAAGAATAAATCATTACAGATATGAGCAAAAAGTGACAATGGAAAGAATTAAAGCAAAGAGAAAAATTTTCAAATGTTTTTTGCAGTGATGATAGAAGTTGAGCTTCACGGTATTTAAATGAATAATTTTTAGCTTTCTAGCTATAGTAAATAAGAAGCTGGACAGGTTGTATCAAGTTCATCACTGTTTACAGCCCCTAAAAAAAGTTATTTAATGGACCTATATGAAAAATGAAAGTGGTACAGTTGAATCACAAGACACTACCCTTAACTTCGATTTCATTGTGTCTTTTGCACAAATGGGATCAAACAGCATGTTTACAATATTAGCCTGCACTTTGTGTACACATTATAGAAGGTCAACCCTATTCTTGGGCCAGCAAGCATTCAAAATTGACCAATCCCTATGCATCCAATGTAATTTTCATTGTATATTTGTAGAGTGGCCATATCAAAGTTCTTTGCTATATCAGTCTCTTCATACTGTGCTTCAAATTTCATTGGAGGGCAATTGTGACACAAGCCTTTACCATGACACAAGTCTTTGATACCAAGCCCTTTATCTGTAAGCACTGTAGCACCTATGTCTTGTATCATATCCAGCACTCCACAGTCTGCAGTTAAGTCATTATCAGTGACTGACCCTGCAGTGCACAAGACTGCCAAAAGGTGTCATCCAAATTCCTGTTTTGCCAATGTCATGGTCCTTGTATGTGCTAAATGTTGCATTGTTGACGTCAAAGTTTTCTGGTTATGTAATCCAGTTCTCTGTGCAGTCTCCCAAAATAACTCTGCCCTGGTAACCAGCTGCATAAACATCCGGAGGTAAAAGGGAAAGCAACTCTCCAGGACAAGGACTCAGGTCTAACCGATCAAACGGAGTTGAAAGAAAAACAGCCAGTGCGGTAAAGATTCTAGCTTGAGTTGAAACACTGGTGCCTGTCATGTATCCAACAGTACCAAAGTGAAGTATATGTCTGCATACTGTCATAAAGCGCACCACCCAAGTTCTTTTTTTCAACTTTCTCAGTTGATACCGTTTCAGTTGCACACTCTATTTTGCTGACTGTGGTGATTTTGTTTGGTACATTTCGCTCGGCAAACTCAGGAGCACAAGGCAAATCTGGGAGATCATTTTAGTTCTCGCGTTCCCCTTTGCTCCGGTGAGGAGAGGAAATGAAATCCCGTTTGAAGTCAATTCCTTTGTTTTTCAGAATTTTGTAATACTCACGCCGTTTCTCGGAGCAGTCTGCAATTTCTTTAGTCTGTAATACTTCAAGTCTTTGTTTTAAGTGCGTCAGGAATTAGTGCAGAGCGTAGCAGCACAATGCAAGTGCCCTTGCTTGACTTTTTGAAACTCTTGGCTTCCTGACTGGGTAAACTTGATGCTTGGTGAGTCCTCACAGTTCAGTCTTTTGGCACACGACCAGTGCTTTGAGCAGATCATGCATCTTCAAATTTACACCCTTTCTGCTTTCCCAGCATTTCTAAATAAGCATTCTTTACCGTCTTCGGTGCAGAATCCAGTTTGGTTAGAATGAAGTACACTGAATTTGGAGTTTAACAAGACTTTTTGCCGAATTTACAAGCACAAGACCAGTGCCAACCTGCACGGGTAGGCTTTCCATTTTTCCCGCCATCTTGATATTTGGATTGAGGGAAAACTGTACAAAAATGCGTTAGTGCCAGGTCCCCGGGCGGTGTGAAATTTCGTAATGGCGGCTTCCTAGCCAGAGCGAGAACGTGCTTTTCCATTCCACTTTCTTGTCAAAAAATGGCGAGCGACCAGGTAAAGATCCTGAAGGAAAAAGCCAAAGAAGCGATCGATATCTATTCTCCTGAATTATATGAATTGAACAAAATTGTTTGGGAAAACCCAGAGCTTGGTTTTCAGGAGAGATCAGCTCACGATCAGCTGACAGAGTTCTTGGCGAATCAAGGCTTCGATGTAACTCCTCACTACACTTTGGATACGGCTTTTCGGGCGGAATGCGGTGAGGATGGAGGTCTTACAATTGGACTGATTAGCGAATATGATGCTTTACCGGAAGTAGGACACGCTTGTGGACATAATCTGATCGCTGAATCGGGAGTAGCGGCGGCTTTAGGTATGTTTATGTTGTCATTTGTTTGACGAACTTCTACCTGCCTAATAAAGCGATCCATATTTATGGGGTGCGTATTAACCTATTTTCTCGTTTATTTTCTCAATTAGTTCAATTCGAAACTGAACCGAGCAAGGGAACACAATGAGGCTCAAAGAAATTTGTCGGGTTTAGTGCGCAGGAGTCAGCTTAGAAATACCAAAACTGGGATGAATGTGGCACAATAGAACTAGATCGGAGGTCTTCCTTGAGTAATTCCCTAGTCTGCAAAGTATGGCAGGACTTGACTATGCTGTAGTTATATTAGTGTGCAATCCAGCGATTCTAGCGTCCAAAGTGGATGTTTAAAAGAATTTGTGTATTCACCTTGCTGCAATACTCTGCAGACTGGATAATTCCTAAATATAGATAAAGTGAGATATCTGGCGTGTGTAAACATTCCCTCAATGATATTTTATATTGATCCTAAATTGTTCATCCAGTTTGAAACTCCTTGAATTGTTTTTAATTCTTAGGTCTCAAGATTGCTTTGAATGCCATTAATCAGAGACCCAAAGTCAAAATAGTTCTCCTTGGAACTCCTGCTGAGGAAGCAAAAGGTGGCAAGATTTTAATGATCAAGAATGGTTGCTTCAAAGATCTTGACTTTTGTATGATGGTTCACCCTAGTCCAGTGGATGTTCTCAAACCAGTGATTTTAGCTCGTGAAAGTGCTACAATTACCTACAAAGGTCACGCTGCTCATGCTGCTGCATTCCCTTGGGAAGGAATTAATGCCCTTGATGCAGCAGTCATGGCTTACACAAGCATAAGTGCACTAAGACAGCAGATGAAACCCACATGGCGTGTCCACCTTATTATTTCTGAGGGGGGCGTTAAGCCAAACATCATTCCTGACCGAGCTCAGCTCCGATGTTCTGTTCGAACTATGAATGACAGTGACCTTGAAGTGTTAAAAGAAAAGGTGAAGAATTGTTTTGAAGCAGCCGCATCAGCCACAGGTAAGTAACTTAAGGAAACAAATCATGGTAGAGTTGTTCCTAGTACTCTGTTTGTTTTTCTATATACTATGTCTTTTTTAAGAAGTATGAGGGCACACCTGGGTAGGAACCCAACTTTCTAAAGGCTAAGTGACTGAGACCTGTATGGAGAAATCTGGAGAAACAAATTTACTTGCTCAAGGATCTTACCCTCTCCCTCCAAATTTCTTTTGGAAGATCCTGTTTGGTCTTTCCCCCAAACTTAAACAGGGGTTTCAATAACTTTTTTCATAAGCATGCCCAGATTGTGTATTAGGTGGCCACACCTGAAAAGGATCATGAGGCTAAACCCATGTACAAGAGCCAGCTCGCTGGCTAAACAGATGGTGATAAGAGGTCTTTTAGGTGTCATTAGACTGCCAGTAATGGACCTCTATTGAAACTCCTGGCTTAAACTAGAATACAATCACAATGGGTCAAACAACCCAATTTTTTTTCCAAAAAGAGAAGGAAGTTTGGTCTGTGCCAGGAAGAATCTTGTATTAAGAAGGTGAGTTAGCATAGGATGCACCCTAATGTTTAGAATTTGTTCTTTTCCAACAGGCTGCAAAGTTTCCATGGAGTGGGAAACAGCCACTAAATATTCACATCTGGAAACCAACAACACCCTTGCTGAACTGTACCAAGCCAATGCTGAGTCCTTAGGAGTATCATTTCCACCTGAGGCAAAGTTCTCAGCATCCACTGATATGGGAAATGTTTCACATGTAGTTCCTTCTATCCATCCCATGTATTCTATTGGCACAACTGCACCCAATCATTCTCATGCATTCACAACAGCAGCAGCAACAGAGGAAGCTCATGAGAAAACTTTGATTGCCAGCAAGGCAATGGCCATGACAGCTATTGATGTATTGTGTAAACAAGATTTCATGGATCAAGTGAGGATTGACTTTAAACAACCAAATGAGGGTGAAAATTAACTGTCATAGATGGAAAAGTGGATATAAGTCAGTAAAGGTCATTAGAGACAGTCTGTGCAAAATTACTTTTCAGTAGATATATTCCAGGGTAAATAATTGACTGTGAGTTCAGTGTGTAATTGACAAATTGTTGATTGATGCAACATGTATATAAAACTATGGTTTGATGAAACTTTCAAATACACACTGAATTTTGATGTGACTGATGTGCTTGATGTGGTTTGATAAGGAAAGAGTAAATAATAACAGATATGGGCAAAAAGTGACAATAGAAATAATTAAAGCAAAGAGAAAGTTTTCAAACATTTCTATGTGGTGATGATAGAAAATTTTGGACTTGAGTGGAGTTGACCCTTGCTGTATTTAAAAGAGTGATTTATGTGCTAGAATTTGATGCAGAGTAAATTTGTTAGATGTGGGTGAGTAGGAATATTTTTCAATCAAGTTCACAGTAACACATGAATGTGCTCTCACACCTTTGACATCCACAAAGTGTACACAGTATTTCAGTACTGAAACAGCAGGTGCACATACAACAGGCAACACATATAAGGTCAAGGTTGGCAGGAATTAACTGTTTGAGGGAAAGCCATGGTGAGGGAAAAGTTTCAAGTTGCCAAGATCACATCAGCCATTTCATCATTTTTCATGTCAGAATCCAAAAACTGGCTCTGTGTTTTCTGCTGCTTACAAAGAATAGAATTAAGATTCACAGGATATAATTTTTGAAGTATTTTTCTTAAAACGTGCTGTGAAATCTCATCCTCTTAGTGAGACTTGTATTTAAAAGCCTTACGAAAGCAGCCTTAAATGTACCTCATCACTAGTGCTAATATTTAAGGTGCTTTAAAATACAAAGATAACTGTGGAGTTGTCAGACGCAGACACAGAGACAGACACAGAGAAGTACTCTCATTCATTTTATGTGTAATCCTCCTTTATTCTGCATAATCCCTTTTTTTATTCCGTACAATTTTACCTATACTCAGGAATAGTAGTTTTGCACCATGCAGCAGTTTTGCAATGCTATTACAGTAGCTATAGTTCAGCATGTGACATGATGCTGTTGTTATGGAAATCAGTACACCACAATCATCTCTCTCTGTTCTCCTTTATCCTCCAACTCCTAAGAGTAACAAGAATCTAATTTCTCACAAGAGTATCACCCCTGAATCAAACATTAAGCCATTAGGTTAAAGGAAATAATTGTAAACTCAAAAAGCTCTCAATTTTCAGACAAATTCTTTGTGTGAGTACTGTTGGGAATGTCTAGAAAACAGTGTGGAGAATTTGCTTACTGATCTTGAGGTTACTCGAAAAAAGGCTTACTCAAAATTTAATTAAAAACTCCAGATAGATCAATCATTCCATCAAAAGAAAAAAAAAGTTTGAGAAGAAATTGCTGTTGATAGAGCCTTCGTGTGATTAAAGAGGATCTGTAAAACGCTAAGTTGTATAATGAATGATTTGGTAAATCAAAGTTTGATTACCTGAAAGTTATGGTAGTTCATTTGGAACAAGGATGGCTATGTATTAAAACCAAAAAGAATTGAAATTAATGCTCAAATGCCAGCTACCTTCATTGAGTAGGACTTGAATCGTTAGAATTTAATCCTCCACTGCAAAATTCAATCAATCAAATAAAAGATTTTTTATTCTGTACAAATAACTTGTTTATCCAGTTCTAAGCTGGTTTGTTAAAGTTGCAAAAATTGTTTTTGATTTTCCAGCAATTTTAATTATTTACTGGTAATGATTCTTGAAATCTGATTGGCTGTTGTGTTTTAGTGATAAAAGCTCCAATAATGACTGCAAAAAAGATGCGATTTAGTGAAAAAAATGGTGTAATTTGTAAACGAAATTGCACCAATGAGAGCCAATCAGATTGCATGGATCATAATTTTAAAATGGATGTAATAAATTTGAATATCTCACCAAAAAACCAATTAATAAATTTATTAAAGAAATAACAGAATCTGTCAGAATAAATAAATTGATCTAATCACGTGTCTGTTATCAAGCAAACATGAAATGGAAAAGAGAAAAAATACCAATCACTTTTGAACGACCAAGACGGGTTGTATTCAAAGCTATCTACCCTCGTGTGCGGCAAGGGGGTGGGGGGCACAGGCGTGAAATTTTACTCAGGGTCCTGTTTCTTTCTTCCTCGAGGGAGAAAGGGAGAGGATCCTGGGAACGAGGTTGACGAGTCACGCAATGAGGAGGAAATCATGGCGACCGACTTGGCAGGTATTCTGAAGCAAAAAGCAAAAGAAGCAATTGATGTTTATTCTTCTGACTTATATGATCTAAACAAAAGAATATGGGAAAAACCTGAACTGAATTTTAAGGAGACGTATGCTCACGAGCAACTGACGAAGTTTATGACGGAGCACGGTTTCAATGTAACTCCTCATTACACTTTGGATACGGCTTTCCGAGCTGAGTGCGGAGAGGATGGAGGTCTGACAATTGGCCTGCTTAGTGAATATGATGCTTTACCAGTTGTCGGACATGCTTGTGGACATAATCTGATTGCTGAATCAGGAGTAGCAGCAGCTTTGGGTAAATTCTCCTTCACATGTACAGAGTGCACGGTATCATTGATGAAATGGGCAATTCGAAGACAATGGAGTCAAACTCTTTGAAAAATTAATGAGTGCGGGAATCTTCTCAAAGATCGTGTCATAATTACACCGTATATTTACGATTTATGCGGTATTTTGACGAGACCGACGAGATCGAAAAAAAAAAAAACAAATTTAGCAAAAAAAACAAAATAAGATATAAATTATTTATCAAACTATTAGTTAGCACTTTGCCAATTTGTTGTCATCAAGACACTTACCTTATTCAGTTATTCTTTGCAAAACAGTATAATCATATAGTAAAAATAGAGTTTGATAAAGCTATGAAATTTAAATGTTTGATATTTCAGTATTAAAAATTAAAGTTAGTCAGTACTATGCGACCTAATAAGATATTCATGTATATTTTTTAGCAGTTGGATTTATAATTGAAATTTGGTAAACTTTTTTATCATCAATCTTGTATTTAAACTCTGGAAATTATATAAAAGATAAAAATAGTAAGTAAAGAACAATAAAGAAGCTTCATGCGTAATTCACCTTTTCTTATTATTTTAATATATGCTTATAGGTCTAAAGATTGCTTTGGAATCAGTTAATCAGAAACCAAAAGTTAAAGTAGTTCTTCTTGGAACTCCTGCGGAGGAAGGAGGAGGGGGAAAGATTTTAATGATCAACAATGGCTGCTTCAAAGATATTGACTTCTGTATGATGGTTCATCCTGCCCCTCATGATGTCCTAAGACCTATAGCTTTGGCGTTCACTGAAGTGACGGTCACATATAAAGGTCATGCTGCCCATGCTGCAGCATTCCCTTGGGAAGGGGTCAATGCATTGGATGCAGCTGTCATGGCTTATACAAGCATAAGTGCACTAAGGCAGCAGATGAAACCTACATGGCGTCTTCATGGCATTATCAGTGAGGGAGGTGTCAAACCCAACATCATTCCTGATCGTGCCCAGCTTCGTTATGCAATTAGAGCTGAGACTAATGAAGAACTTGAAGTATTGAAGGAAAAAGTGGTAAGCTGTTTCCAAGCAGCAGCTAAAGCAACTGGTTAGTAACTTTAATAGGAAAATAATTCATGTTTATAGACTCATTTTGTTTACTTCTGCTGCCCCTGTGGTTTTGCCTAAGTGGTGATTTTGTTATTTTTCTATTTTCAAGGGTGCGAGGTATCTGTGGAATGGGAACCAAGACCTTATTCCAGTTTAGACACAAACAACACACTTGTAGACCTCTATCAAGCTAATGTTGAGACCTTAGGAGTAACTTTCAATCCTTTTGAGGAATATGGCAAGGGCTCAACAGATATGGGCAATGTCTCCCAAGTAGTTCCATCATTTCATGTGATTTACAGTATTGCTACCAACACTGTGAACCATTCCCATGAATTTACAGCGGCAGCAATTACAGAGATTGCCCATAATAAAACATTGATTGCAAGTAAGGGGATGGCCATGACTGCTATTGATGTTCTTTGCAATCCTGAGTTTTTGCAGAAAATAAAGAAGGACTTTAAAAAAACACACCCATCAATGTAACTGATGAATGTTAATTCTTAAGGAGAAATACAATTAAAGCTGCAGAGAGGAAAACAATAATTTGTGTACCTTTCCCAGAGATGAAATTGCCTAAAAAAATTGAGCTTTTGGAATTCTGTGGAGATGACCATGTTCATTTCCATCTGTTGTTTTAAGTGGATATCATGGCCGTTTGTCTGCCTGGGCCATTTTCTCATCATTTTGATCCCTTAGAAGGGAAAACCAGCATCTGATTTCTTCTTACAATGTTACCCTCAAATTACACAGCACTGTCATGAGAATAAAGGAATTGATCACCAACTAAAGAAGCTCTTGATTTGAAAACAAATTCTCCTCATCGACACCTTGGGAAATGTATAGAGAACAATAGGTAGAATATGCATACTGATGTTGAGGTGCAAAGGGTTAATACCCTGGTTAACTTCTAAACTTATCTAATATCTTCTGTATTCATCAATTCCGTAATAACACTTTAACTCCCAATATCTGATTGTTAATTCTCCCCTGTAGCTGCTACACATCTCCTTGTAAACTAGTTATGTGAATTTGATGTTACAGGTAGATCAACATAGCAATTTCTACTTGACAAGTTTGAGTGTTCTCATCATCTGTTTGCTAAATAATGTATAGGTGTTACAGGGAGAAGTTATATGTTAATCACTTTGGGAGTCAAAGGGTTTATTTAACAAAACAACCAAGATGTCGCCATGGACCTCCTGCCAATGCCAATGATGATGCATTAAGGATAAAGTTACCTTACTAGACATTGAAGTTTCTCAATATTTTTGGTGTTCATAAACACCAAGTGTGATGCTTCTTCTCATGCAGAAACACCCTCCCACTCCTCTTTTATCCCTTTTCGAGCTTTTCATGCTTTTCATTTTCATTTTTTTCCCACTAAGCAAGAGGAGAACTTTCTCTCCATGCTCACTGATACTCCTTTTCTCTTCGGGTCGAGGGTGTCACAGCGGCTACTGAGAAAATTATAGTTTGGATTGTCACAAAGTTTAGGATATTTACTGGAAAATTTTAATGGGGCAAACCCTAATCATAAGTGAGAGCTTTGCACAATTTTTTTCCAGAGTTAGCAAAAGTAGCCCTTCCAAAATGAACACTCCATTGTAATTAGCCATTTAGGTTTGTGGGGTATGTGAAGAGGTGGCGCAAAAAACACGTTTTAACTTCTTTTAAATCGTAGAAAAATTCTTTGGCGATCTTTTTAACTCTGACAGATCATAGCAATACATACATACGTACACATACTTTATTTATGCTCGAAATTCACAGTGTAGCTGTAGAGCTAATATCTTTGAATGAGGTCCTCACAGTCTAACCTTTACAATGGGAAGATGTGTATAAGATCACAGTTCTAGTGTGAATCAATGTTTTGGTTCCATTGTAAACTCTTGCTGCACTGTAATTCCATGACATGATTAGCAAGAAAGATAATTGATTAACTCTCTGGTAGGTGCAAACAAACCTTGATGCTATAATCTGATTGGCGTAAGCAAAATGCCACTCAATAAGCTAACACAGAGTTACTTTTATTTATATTTAAAAACAACAACAACAACAGCAAAACTTAAGAACCTCTTATTTTCCATGCTGTTTACATTTGTTGCCTTATTTGTTTAACCCTTGATAGTCTAACATCACTGCATTATCTACACATATTATACACTGTTTGACAATCAAGAGCTTTTAAGTTTTTAGAGCATTTCCCCCCCTTATTCTCCTGACATTAATGTTATATTTAGGTGTGGTACAGCGAGAAATTCTATAGATGTCAGTAATTCTTATGGTTTAAGGGGTTAAATCTTTGTAAACTTCAAAGGTGATTTCGCTCATATCTCGGTTACTGCGTACCACTTACATGTCCTCATACTTAAATTTTATTTTCCTGACTAAAGAAGAAAGTAGGACCTTCTGGGTCAGTGGACGTTGAAATGGCTCTACAGAGTCGAAATTGTAACAAAGAAGATAGAGTATGCAAGTCGAAGGTATTCATGTAGTTATTGATGAATGAAACTGTGGGATCGCGAAAGTTCGCCGTCACAGACCAGGATGTAGGCATAGAAGTAAAACGTCGTAAATAAGAAGTCCAAAACCAGACGACAGAAAATTATAGGTCAATGGTTGGAAATAAACTCCGAACTCCGAAATCGAATGTCCGAAAGTCGAAAACGGAAATTTGAAGTCCGAAGCCAAAAGTCGAAAACTTAAAATTCGATAGTAGGAGAAACAAACTGCGAAATCGAAATCGAATTTCCGAAGTCGGGAATTAAAAGTCCGAGACGGAAGTCGGAAACTTAAAAGTTGATAGTCGGAAATGAAACTCTGGAAGTGAAATCGAATTTCTATGATCCAGAGTTTGAAATCAGGGGTCAGAATTGCAGATGCAGCATTAATCTGTTGGCCGGTTACAAAACCAATAACAATTTAGTTCATTACACCGTTAAACATCTAATGATTAAAGGATCATTAAGTCATGAAACCAGAAGTCAATAAGAGTCCATTCAAGAAGTTCTCAAATGATTGCTCGAGGTTGAGTATTGTATGTTCTTAGTTTATGTTTGATTTGTTTTAATTATCCCTTTTTATTTTTTTACTAACTGTCCTTTTTTACTTCTTTACTTAAAAGTTTTAGAGTGATTTATCTATCCTTTATTTTTCTGGGCAAACTTAAACATTTCAATACTTATAATTTTTACTTTTAGACGATCACATAATACAAATATAATAAGACACTAAAGGTTTAAAAACGTCTTCCCTGCTGATGATCAAATCATACATGGATAATGCAACGATTGCTCTGCTTCCTTGTTGATAACCGTGACATCATGAGGAATAGACACCACAGCTTTTAGACTGCTTCCTTTTTGACAAACACATGATGCATTACCACCACAACTTTTAAACTGCTTCCTTGTTAACAAATGCATGATGCAGAAACTGCAACTTTCAAACTGCTTCCTCGTTGACAAATACATGACGCATTGACACCACAACTTTTAAACTGCTTCCTTGTTAACAAACGCATGATGTAGAAACTGCAACTTTCAAACTGCTTCTTTGTTGACAAACACATGATGCATTGACACCACAACTTTTAAACTGCTTCCTTGTTGACAAACGCATGATGCATTGACACCACAACTTTTAAACTGCTCCTTGTTGACAAAAACATGATACATTGGCAACTTTTAAACTACTTCCTTGTTAACAAACACATGATGGAGAAACTGCAACTTTCAAACTGCTTCCTTGTTAACAAACACATGATGCATTGACACCACAACTTTTAAACTGCGTCCTTGTTAACAAACACATGATAACTGCAACTTTTAAACTGCTTCCCTGTTAACAAACACAGGATGCATTGATACTGCAACATTTAAACTGCTTCCTTGTTAACAAACACATGATGCATTGACACCACATGCACAACTTATAAACTGCCTGCTTGTTGACAAACACGATGCATTGACACCACAACTTTTAAACTGCTTCCTTGTTAACAAACACATTATAACTGCAACTTTTAAACTGCTTCCTTGTTGAAAAACACATGATGCATTAAAACTGCAACATTTAAACTGCTTCCTTGTTAACAAACACATGATGCAGACACCACAACTTTTGAACTGCTTCCTCGTTGACAACACATGATGCTTTGACACCACAAATTTTTTACTGCGTCCTTGTTAACAAACACATGATAACTGCAACTTTTAAACTGCTTCCTTGTTTAAAAACACATGATGCATTAATACTGCAACATTTAAACTGCTTCCTTGTTAACAAACATATGATGCAGACACCACAACTTTTAAACTGCGTCCTTGTTAACAAACACATGATAACTGCAACTGTTAAACTGCTTCATTGTTAACAAACACATGATGCATTGACACCACAACTTTTAAACTGCTTCCTTGTTAACGAACACATAATGCATTGACACCACGTGCACAACTTGTAAACTGCCTGCTTGTCGACAAACACGATGCATCGACACCACAACTTTTGAACTGCTTCCTTTTTAACAAACACATGATGCATCGACACTGCAACTTTTGAAATGCTTCCTTTGTAACAAACACATGATGCATCGACACCACAACTTTTAAACTGTTTCCTTGTTAACAAACACATGATGCAATGCCACCACAACTCTTAAACTGCCAGCTTGTCGACAAACACATGATGCATCGACACCACAACTTTTGAACTGCTTCCTTTTTAACAAACACATGATGCATCGACACCACAACTTTTGAACTGCTTCCTTTTTAACAAACATAATGCATCGACACCACAACTTTTGAACTGCTTCCTTGTTAACAAACACATGATGCATTGACACTGCAACTTTTGAACTGATTTCTTGTTGACAAACACATGATGCATAGGTACCACAACTTCGAAAGAAGATGGTGGGTTCAAAGCTTACAAAGAAACACACCTAGAAAAAGAGAGAGAAAGAATAATATCAGTGATATCACTGAGGCATAGACACATACATACACTGCCAGTTTAACCAAAGCTTCATTTGATCCACAGGAGCAATGCAGATTTATTCTAATAACAGGATTTCATTTTTCGTACAGTTTAAGTCAAAACTGTCTTTCACCCTTATCCGTGCGTGTCGATAAGTGCCTTTTGAAATCAAGCCTTTGTAAGATGTGATTTTTCGAATTTTTCCTTTGATAAGATGAAAGGAAAGTTCCACCGTAGGTCGGCTGAAATATAGAAATCATGTAGACACATTCGTGTCTTGCTGCGGGAAAGGAGCTCGTAACAAAAATGCCTAAACTTTTTCGTCAGGATAATATTGTTTAAGGTGTTGCTTTGTTTCTTTTTCTTTTAGTTTGAATCTTTGTCAACTTTGCGAAAATAAACTTGGTTGGAGATTTTTCTTATTTATTACCTTAGCATAACATCTACGGTACCAAGTGCCTTCTGTCATCCAACTTGTCCGCTTGGGGAAAATTATGATTTTCCAGCTGAAAAGAAGAGTACTTGGAGTAAATTAATTATACTACAGTTGCATTAATCAACTAAATTAAATGCAAAGGACGATATATTTGTTACAGCTAACACCTTCATTATAAGCGCAGAGAGATGCGTATTTTATAACAAGTACAGTTTGTACATACTTAATAAACAACCTGTGTATCTCATTCCAGTCTTAGCTGAACAGCTAAGCAGCACTCCCTACATGAGGAGCTCTGGTGAATGGTCCTCTTCATGGCTGCCTTAAATACCAAATTGATTTGGGCTATCACTTCATGATTGTCGCTGAAGCATACTTACAGTTCTCCACCTGTTTAAGTACCAAATTTCGGTTGCATTTGGTACCAGAGGGTGAGACCGAAGTATGGGCAATCTGCACTGCACCTCTCCTCGGGACGCGAAAATAAACAAGCACTGAGTGGAGTGCACGAAACTCTCCACGCAGCTGGGATCACCTTATTTGGGCTGACTGCTTGAGGTTGGAATCCTCACAAGGGACTCATATCGTAATTTTTTTCTTTTACTATCCTATATATAGTACCA